CAGGTGTGGACAGGGTGCCCATGAATTACTTGTATGAAACGACAGATCCCCAGGCGTTTCACTGCACTAAACCCCTATACCTGTCAAACCTACTGATGTTCATCAGTGTTAACGTCAATAAGCCTTTGCCTCCGATTGTCGACATCTGGAAGGGATTGGAGACGAAGATCTTGTTTATCATAATCACGGCATTCCTTATGCTATACATCACTCACAAGATATCACACAAATTGACTCAAAACAACCGCAAACGCTCATAATTCAGGACCAGTATTGGATGGATATACTCATCCCATATGCGCCTCGATTCGCGTCTATACATGTGGGCCAACCCTATCTGGCTATCCCTATAACAGCCCTATGTTATGGACCAAAGTTTCCGTTTATTAATGAGACGGAAATTCTGTAAGAATATTCTGTTAGAAATGATTATTTATTACAGAATATTCTTGTATTTATTGTTATAGTGCTCAGCGTTTATACTCTATGTTATGGACCAAAGTTTCCGTTTATTAATGAGACGGAAATTCTGTAAGAATATTCTGTTAGAAATGATTATTTATTACAGAATATTCTTGTATTTATTGTTATAGTGCTCAGCGTTTATACGAGTCATCACTTTTGCAATACTGGTATCGATTGAAAGGAAAGTTTTATTATGAACTCTATTTGTCGGTCATAGAGAATGCGGGTTCAGCCGTAGGATTTGATAGACCTGTCTCAGACTATTACAAAAACAAGACTAACCCATACGACGGACTGTCCATTCATGAGATACAGTCTCACTTTTACTTCATTGTCTATAGTTTGTGAATTTGTTTGGTTGTGAATATCGTGGAAATTATTGCATAATATCTCAACGCTATAATAAAATTGATGATTATAATAGCATTTATAAATTATAATTTATAATAAATACTAATTTTTAATCAGTATTGATTTCCAATTGGTATATAATTTCATTTTAAATAAATAATTAATCAATTTAAACAAAATATTTTATTAAAAGTAACATTTTATTCTGAACATGGTTGTAAACGGATTCATAACTCAATATACAGTCCTATTCATCATGTAATCTGTGAATTATGTTGTCATGATGTTTACATAATTTTATATTTATCCCCGATCACTTTGTTTTTGTATGAATATAAGCAAATTCATTAAATGTTAAATACATTCTTTTATTATTTAACTTAAAAGCTAAATTAAAAATTTTATGAAAATAAAGTGAGTCTCAAAAGTGTCAACAGTATCCGGTATTTAATTGATAGCATTTTAGGTACATATTTAATGTCAAAACATTTTAATTAACTAATTATATTAAATTATATCTGGTATTAATTGTTTTATGTAGGAATTATGTTATTAATTATTTAATTAGATAATTTAAAATCAATATTAATTATTAATAATGCATTTGTATTTTGTACATTTACCGTAATATAAAACTTTATTAAGTAATCAATATTTTTGTATTTATTTAAAAACATTGTGTACTTAATTTTTATTTATGAATGGTGCATATCAAAATTATTAAATGTTGTAAAAATTTATAAAATACTAAGTTTGTTTTACAAAATAAGAAATATGGCATCCCACAGGAATGGTATGATTTGGTGGGGAAATGTGTTTCAATACATACATTCCCATCATTTTGGTTTTTGGCATAAATACGTGGAAAATGTTAACATGACTTATATTGATTGCAATCGCAATCAAACATATGATTTGATACATAAACAAAACAACACTTTTAATCTATTGGCTAAACCTGATATGGTATCATATAATTTACATAAATAATTTTAAAAATTTTATTTTTCTTATAAATATATTTACAGAAAGAGTTTCTCGAAGAAGGTGGCATAAAATTTCATAGCACTGCCTATTATAGCTCATTAATAGCACCCTTACTGATTGAATTAGGAAAATATATCAATTATAGGTAGTTTATCACAGATTTGTTATTAAAAATGTAAGTTTATATAATTTATATGAAAATAATTGACACATAGTGTACACCTCTATGTGTTTAAATGCGAGGGAAATGAATACGAGATTCCCGTCGAGAATATGATTAAAAGCGGAGATTTGACGGCAATAGACAGGACTCCTATGGACTACATATGGGAAACGCAAACCAATTATACCCTCAACTGTTCAAAACCGCTGTATATGTCATACCTTTTAAACCACATCAGCGCTAATGTGAAGAAAGATTTGCCACCGATTCTGGACATCTGGAAGGGCTTGGAGACAAGGGTCTGGTATCTCATTATCAGTACTGTTCAAAACCGCTGTATATGTCATACCTATTAAACCACATCAGCGCTAATGTGAAGAAAGATTTGCCACCGATTCTGGACATCTGGAAGGGCTTGGAGACAAGGGTCTGGTATCTCATTATCAGCGCATTTCTAATTATACTACTTATCGACAAAATGACAAATAAAATACTCAACAAAAATGTAAAACTTTCGCTTTTTGGTTACGTTTGGATATATTGTAAGCCACTGTTGGGAGCACCAGAAAACACCAGGTATATGAGCTGGCTGTTTGAATTGTGGGTCATTTCGGTGATACCATTGGTGGCTATCGTTCAAAACGAGTTGAAGGCAAATATGGTGAACCGTCCCGTCATTTACGTCCAAACTATTGACGACTTACTGGACGACAGACTGCATGTATATACCGACCGAAACAAACTGAACGGATGGACAAACCCCTCATTTTACCAGACGTTTGAAAATAACTCATTTAAGGCTCAGTTCATAAAATTGGGCCAAAAGTTAAAGCAATGGAATACACGAGAAGTTTGGACAGAATTATATTATATCCAACAAAATCCCGATAAGTTTTCGGAGGTTTTCAACGATATAGCAATTATTGAGGACGAGATGTGGATGAGTATACTTATACCATACGTCCCACGATTCGTATCCATACACGTAGGCCAACCATACCTACCGGTGCTCATTACGCCGCTGTGTTATGGACCAAACTTTCCATTTGTTTCGCAAACAGAATTACTGTAAGAATATTGAGAATATTCTGTGATTACAAAAACAATTATATTTAAAATTAATTTCTAGTTCTCAGCGTTTATACGAGACATCACTTTTGCAATACTGGTATCGACTGAAAGCTAAGTTTTATTTTGACATAAATATGGAAATTGTGGAAAAGAGCGGATTTCTCGATGGCAAACATATCTCTGATTATTACGCTAATTATAAACAGGATTTGATTGAACATAGCTATGGTTTAGCATTATTTGATGCAAAACCACTATTTCTCTCTACGATATATTACTTAACTATTTGTATATTTGTTTTAGTTATAGAAATTATATTTCATCAACGTCATAATATATTTCTATACCTGTTCCCACTCTAAACATATAAATGTAAACAAGTTCACAAAATTGAACCTGTTATAATAACTAAAAGAACCAAATAAATAATAATATTTTAAGCTACTGTATAAATAAATATTTATTTTAAATAACATATATGTTTGTTAAAGTAGAAAAATTTACATAAATGATCCAGTTCAACAATTATTATTGTTTTCCAGGCCAATAGTGGGCCCAAACGGTACCATAACATGTAGTCTCACAAACACCCCTCACGGCTATGAGTCCGCAATACTTTTTGCTATACAGTTCCTCAACACCGGTATCGCAATCGCACCGACCTTTTGTTACATGCAATTCAGTTTGCACTATAAGCTGATCACCCGTACACTTGCCTTTAGCTATAGTTCCCATTGAACTGTATATTTCACTTCCTAATAAAAACAACAATAATAATAAATATATTAATTACAGAATATTCTGTACTGTAAGCTATACACAAATGCTGTATTATTAAAATTATTTTAAGCAATAAGCGCACCGTTAGTATCCCTGACAACCTGTGTTGAGGTGGCGTTAATGCAGTGCCGTATGCCATCCCGATAGCCATTAGCGGTGGACAGTACGCTATGACCCCAAACGGAGTTACACTTCCAATCGCACCGTTGGTCTATGATATCCCATTGGATTCGCGAGAAATAGCCCTCGCATTTGTCGTACTGACCATACATTCCCAATATTTTTTTACCGTTCCCCTCTGACCTCAAAAACATTTTCAAAAGAAGTATAATAATTATTATTTTAATATTAAACAAATAATTTCATACTCATTTGAGCGACTATACTACTAAGGCTGTATTCTGCATTATGCAGTTCATTGTCATAATTATATGTGTAAACTAATTGTATAATTATTGCAAACAATATATTGATTTTAATTGTAGTCATAATTATTAAGGGAATTATTAATATTAATGTTAACTCATTGATTCAAAATAAAACATTTGAAATGTACATGTACAGTATGCAACATTGATATAAATCTGGAACTAGATTTTTGGGACACTTATGTGAATTTATTTAGTCCAAAATAGCTATGATATTAAAATTATTAATAATTTTGGAGTTATATATAAAGTTAAAGTTAAAAATAATCCAATTAACATTTGTATTATATTTTTATTTTTTCTATATTATTTAGATTCTTAAAAATGTATTTAATTTTTTATGTATATTTCGCAAAAGTTATGCAGTACCTTTGTTAAATACAGATTTAGCACATTTCGGTGCATTGATGTCATTGAAAGTATTGACATCCAGGCGCCTTACTGTACTGCATGAAAACAATACCTCATAAATAAGATAATAATCGAAATTTTGATATAAAGTACAGTAAGTTGTCTTGATAAATTAGTCACACCTACTGATTAACTGTTACTTTTGTACTGTACTTTTAGGATAATTATAAACACAATAGGGCATGGCTTATTGATTGTACATTTATGCATTTAATGTTTAACATGATAATTATCTGTTCATTTGAACATTAAGTTTATTGAGTAACAAAATTATAAACAGTTAATAATTTATTTATTTAATAAAACTTCGCACAAATAATTTTATGACAAACAAGTTAGTGAGCATGGTTAAGTTAACATGTGCTGTTTGCGGCGATATAGCCACTGGTATTACTTAATAAACAACAAATTATAATATTTTTATTAAAATTTTTATCAAAACATTTTGTATTTAGGCTATAATTTTGAAGTCATAACTTGCGGCTCGTGTAAGGAGTTCTTCAGGAGGACTGCCACCAGGGATGAGGTAATCGTAAATATAGTGATTACTTGTGATTTAATTAAACAATTATTTCACAATAAGGTTTTCAAGTGTCGGTTCACAACTGGCTGTCAAATAGATGTGAGGACACGGAAAAGGTGTCGAAAGTGTCGGCTCGACAAATGCTACGCAATGGGAATGAACAAGGTAATGATTTGTTTTCATACGTATAACTTAATTTTTATAATTTATAATTGTTTTTAGGATTACATTAACCTTAGGGTCAGACGATCGTCGACTAGTTTGTATGAAAAACATATGAAAAGCAAAGTTTCGTATAGTATTGTAGACTCGACTACACCGACGGCACCGAGTGATAGGACTTACGACACAAACACCAGTTTCCCAGACATTCACTCCGATGTCAACTATGGAGACATCAATTCATATAATTACGAGTTGTCAGAGACAGTGGACAGGGATATAAAACCATCGCTAATACCAATAGAAACCTACCTGTCCCTTCCATACTTTAGGTACTAAAAAATCCTAATATTACTTGAATTGAAGCAATGAATGTGTAAAAATAATTTTCATATGGATTTAATAGTTTAACTGAAAAGGTACATAAAATTTATGAATTAAACATAAATTATAGAAATGTAATAATCGTATACCAATGTAACATTTATAATACAATACAGTACCATTACATTAATTATAATTTATAAAACAGTAAATATTTTTAAAAATAATAGTTAATAAAATAATATAATTAACTCGTAACCATATGAATACTGTAACCATAATAAAATGCAAAATTTAAATTTTTATATGAAAGCTAACTAATCCCTTTTATCAAATTGATTCAAATGATTATCATTTGAGAAATAATTTCCGAAATATTGACCACAAGACATATCCCCAGACTGTAGACAATAAAATAAAAGAGAGACTGCATCTCAAGANATAATTTCCGAAATATTGACCACAAGACATATCCCCAGACTGTAGACAATAAAATAAAAGAGAGACTGCATCTCAAGAATGGACAGTCCGTCGTATGGGTTAGTCTTGTTTTTGTAATAGTCTGAGACAGGTCTATCAAATCCTACGGCTGTACCCATGTTCTCTATGACCGACAAATAAAGTTCAAAAAAAAACTTTCCTTTCAATCGATACCAGTATTGCAAAAGCGATGACTCGTATAAACGCTGAGAACTAAAGCAATGAACACAAGAATATTCTGTAATAAATAAACGCTTTTAACAGAATATTCTTACATAACTTCCGTTTGTTTAATAAACGGAAACTTTGGTCCATAACATAGGGGTGTTATAGGGATAGCCTCATAGGGTTGGCCCATATGTATAGACGCGAATCGAGGCGCATATGGGATGAGTATATCCATCCACGACTGGTCCTGAATTATGACCAGATTTTGGATCATTTCCTGAACCAAATGCGGGCTATCCTTCACTGCCTTAACCTTATCCATGATTTTCCCATATGTAGTCCATAGGAGTCCTGTCTATTGCCGTCAAATCTCCGCTTTTAATCATATTCTCGACGGGAATCTCGTATTCATTTCCCTCGCATTTAAACACATAGAGGTGTACACTATGTGTCAATTATTTTCATATAAATTATATAAACTTACATTTTTAATAACAAATCTGTGGTAAACTACCTATAATTGACATATTTTCCCAATTCTATCAGTAAGGGTGCTATTAATGAGCTATAATAGGCAGTACTATACAATTTTATGCCATCCTCTTCGAGAAACTCTTTCTATAAATATATTTATAAGAAAATTAAAAATTTTTAAAAATGATTTAGGTAAATTATATGATACCATATCTGGTTTAGCCAATAGATTAAAAGTGTTGTTTCGTTTATGTATCAAATCATATGTTTGATTGTGATTGCAGTCAATATAAGTCATGTTAACATTTTCCACGTATTTATGCCAATAACAAAAATGATGGGAATGTATGTATTGAAACACATTTCCCCACCAAATCATACCATTCCTGTGGGTTGCCATATTTCTTATTTTATAAAACAAACTTTATAAATTTTTATAACATTTAATAATTTTGATATGCACTATTCATAAATAAAAATTAAGTACACAGTATTTATAATTTATAATAAATAAATTATAAATAAATACAAAAATATTGATTACTTAATAAAGTTTTATATTACGGTAAATGTACAAAATACAAATGCATTATTAATAATTAATATTGATTTTAAATTATCTAATTAAATAATTAATAATATAGTTCCTACATAAAACAATTAATACCAGATATAATTTAATATAATTAGTTTATTAAAAAATATTTTTACATTATGTTTTGATATTAAATGTGTACTTAAAATGCTATCAATTAAATACCGGATACTATTGACACTTTTGAGACTCACTTTATTTTCATAAAATTTATAATTTAGCTTTTAAGTTCAATAATAAAAGGATGTATTTAACATTTAATGAATTTGCTTATATTCATACAAAAACAAAGTGATCGGGGATAAATATAAAATTATGTAAACATCATGACAACATAATTCACAGATTAAATTATGAATTCCATTCCTGTGGGATGCCATATTTCTTATTTTGTAAAACAAACTTAGTACTTTATAAATTTTTACAACATTTAATAATTTTGATATGCACCATTCATAAATAAAAATTAAGTACAAAATGTTTATAACTAAATACAAAAATATTGATTACTTAATAAAGTTTTATATTACGGTAAATGTACAAAATACAAATGCATTATTAATAATTAATATTGATTTTAAATTATCTAATTAAATAATTAATAATATAGTTTCTAAATAAAACAATTAATACCAGATATAATTTAATATAATTAGTTATTTAAAAAATATTTTTACATTATGTTTTCACATTAAATATGTACTTAAAATGCTATCAATTAAATACCGGATACTATTGACACTTTTGAGACTCACTTTATTTTCATAAAATTTATAATTTAGCTTTTAAGTTAAATAATAAAAGGATGTATTTAACATTTAATGAATTTGCTTATATTCATACAAAAACAAAGTGATCGGGGATAAATATAAAATTATGTAAACATCATGACAACATAATTCACAGATTAAATTATGAATAGGACTGTATATTGAGTTATGAATCCGTTTACAACCATGCTCAGAATAAAAAGTTACTTTTAATAAAATATTTTGTTTAAATTGATTAATTATTTATTTAAAATGAAATTATATACCAATTGGAAATCAATACAGATTAAAAATTAGTATTTACTATAAATTATAATTTATAAATGCTATTATAATCATCAATTTTATTATAGCGTTGAGATATTGTGCAATAATTTCCACGATATTCACAATCAAACAAATTCCCAAACTATAGACAATGAAGTAAAAGAGAGACTGTATCTCATGAATGGACAGTCCGTCGTATGGGTTAGTCTTGTTTTTGTAATAGTCTGAGACAGGTCTATTAAATCCTACACCTGAACCCATGTTCTCTATGACCGACAAATAGAGTTCATAATAAAACTTTCCTTTCAATCGATACCAGTATTGCAAAAGTGATGACTCGTATAAACGCTGAGCACTATAACAATAAATACAAGAATA